ATATCAAACTTTTATTTATTTAAATACTCAATATAAATTTTTTGGTATATTGTCAAAAAATACAGATTAATTAAATAATGATGAAATAAGATGATAGTTTATCATTATAATAAATTTCATTCGAATACAATAATGATTAAGAGGAAGAAATTATTAAGGATGATAATTTATTTGATGTTCATCATTTTTAATTGAAATAATCAACACAAATAGGATCGATGTTTTAATAACATACTAGATGCCAACATGACTGCTATAAACTAAATTAAATAACAGATATATGGATATCCCCTCCTGCTGTTGTAAAAAAGGAATACGGAAATGAATTGACTTTTGAATAAGCAAAAACTTACTTTGATTCATTAAAGATAAATGATAAGCAAAAGAAATAGGCTCGAGGCTCAAAAAATATCTTCAATAAGGATCAAAAGTGGCTTATAAAGAAAATTTTGTTTTAATAAGAAAATTAACTCAAAATAAATACACAAAAGAGTATATCTCGGGGTTAACAGGACTTTCAAAAAGTTAGATTTACTATAGGGAGAAATAAATCCCAGAGTGCACAATATTCGACCTAATTTTCTCTAACATAAAATCATATTAATTGGTTAAGATAATATATTTAAAAATAGGATGTAAATGCATTTTGGAACTCAAAAACTATTTATGAATAGTTTAGGATACATTTTTAATTAGAATATGATTTTGTTTCTCTAACGGCCTTTTAAAAATATTTAAAATAAGTGGGGCTAGTTTTCGTCTAGTCAAAATTCGAAGTAAAGGATATTTCAAAATTAATTGGGAAAGAAAGTTATTGTATTATCAATCATTACTTTCAATAATGAAATAAAAAGTTTCATTGTTGTTTTTAGATGAAACCACATTTACTCATCATTCTATAAATCCAAAGTGTTGGTAAAAGGGGTGATAAAATATAAACGAATTTTACAAATGTAGAATTCACTACATGTTATTGGTTTTATAGGGTAAAATGGTTTTCGGTGTTTAAGGAATAGTTAATTAATACATTTTTGCTTAATTTTTAGAATAATTGCTGAAAGCTGCATAAATATTTTATTAAAACAAACCATATGTATTGACAATTTAAAAGTAATAAAGCAATATAAATTTTCATCACAAATGTAATTTGATATTTGAGTTGATGGTATATTAATGAAGTTCCTATTAAAAATCATCTTTTATGAACTATTTTGAACATTTTTAAACTACCTGCTAACTATGAGAAAAATAATAATAATAATCAATTGATGAGTCAGGTTCTGGTAAAATTTTAAGTAGGGAACCCGCAAAACAAGTGTTGTGGCAAGAACATGCACTATTTTTACTAAAGCTAATTATATTAAGCATATTATGATCTAATATATAATAATTAGGAGTACTCATTGTAAAAATATTATGAGTAATTAGTATACTGTCATAAATTAGGTGATATTATTCTTGTAATTATTATATTTTACCTTAATCTTATTCATACAAATGAATGTATGTTTGGGTGTATTAATGCTATTATAAATTTACTTAAGGTTATATAAGGGGAAAAACATTTGTACAAGATGTTCCTTATATATTTAATTCTAAATCAAAGAATTCATGAATACTTATAGAGAGTTAATTGAATTCTGATAAATTAGAAATTCCTTAATTATGAAGATATTTATAGTATCTAGTGATGATTTGATTATGTTAAGAACAGTTACTTAAATAATGATAATGTATAATATTTATAAATGATTGAAGCGAATAATAAAGATTATAAAAGTTAGATAAAATAATAAAACTGAATTGAAAACTAACCTGTAGCATTTTATAGAAAAGAAAAAGATTTTTGATTGTTGTAAATTTGTAAATAAAATCTTTAGAAATATTTGAATAAAATAAAAATGCTAATCAGTAAATTCTAATTCTCAATTTAAGAGTAGTACTTCAATAATCAACACATAAGCTCTCTCTTGATAAAACAATTTTGAGTTTTTGAATTAGTTAAGTAGTATTCGAATATCCTTCAGAAATTATGTTAATTATTTTTTGTCAACCATCATTTTAACACATTAAGGAATAAATGCAATCTTCTCTAATTTCATATTTGATCGATTTATTTTTTTAATAAACTTCTTAAAATAAATTTGTTTAGTGTAGTATGACCTAAAAATAATAATTAGAAATAATAGTTTCATTATTAATAGATATTCATATGATGATTTTGGAATAAATAGATGTTATGTTTTAGAATACATGAGGAAAGGAAGTAAACTCAAGGTAATCATTAGTTGAACGATAAATGTATTTGAATAAACTCTTGAATATTACTTTATTTATAATAATATTCTTTTTAAAACAGGAGAATGATTTCTTCTTATATAATAGACATGTCCAACAGAATTTGCAATTCAATTTAAATTTTATGTCTTTTTTATCCAATTCCAACATAACAAATTAATCACAATCACAAACAATTTGACTAATCTAGTTATGAGAATTTAGTTTATTGAGTTTTAATTTTTAACATAAGTATCTGCATTTTTTATGTTTTATCTTTAAAAAATCCTCAATTTCATTATTTCTTCTATTAGTCTCAAATTCTTCTACAAATTAATGACCGAAATTTATTAGTTTAAATCGAAGGATTTATAAGAATATATTTTTACACCTAAATTTTTAATGTCTAAATGCTGAATAAAAATATTTATTGCTTTATATTATTTCATGTACTTTTCAAATTTTTATTTGTATATAAGTTTCACCACTCCAAAGAATGGTGTATCTAATTTGTAAAAAATTGTGTGAGCAAAAACAAAGTTTGCATTTCATATAGTAGATTATTATCTTTGAATTTCTAATAAAAGAAATCTGCTATTTAGCACTCATAACAAAATGAGTAAAGTCTTACTTTTCAAGTTATTCATCCACTGAAATGTCTTCATTACTGATTTTTTGTTATTAGGCATTAAAGGCCTTAATGAATATGTAAATTAATTATCATTTTCTTTTTTAATTCTTTTTTATCCATTATTACCTTTAGATTATTGATACATTTCTTTTAATTGAATCAATCATAATTCATCATTCATTTATTTTTTCTAAATCAGCTTCAAAATTTTAGAATTGATTATTTAAAGCTTTTAAGTTTTTGGATTCTGTAATTTCAACAGATTGTTGCAACATTTATCCAACTAAATCGACTAAATTTTTAGGTAATTTTTGTGATGTAATTGTCATCACAGTCATTATGTTTTTCATTTTTCAATCATAATATCTGTTTAATTGGTTTAGCACAACATAAAAAATTATACTTTTTTAAAATAATTATATTTTTCTTTTTTTTCAAAACATCTTGAAAATAATTTTTTGAGTTTTTTAATGTAGGGTTCCGATTTACTGTTATGTTAATCTCTTCCATAGCAAGGAGCATCAAAAATTAAAGAATTTACATAATAAGCTATCTGAATGATAAGGAAAATTGAGTTCTTGAGTCTGTTTGAATCCAGAAACTGCATGTTAGTTCATCTCCTCCTTCAACTTCGAATGTCGAAATGAAGTCTTAAATTCAGTCATTTCTTTTGTACAACTTTAAACTAGCTTTTCCTTGTCAAGTATAAAAATAACTGAAAGGTTCAATAAATTCTCTTTTAAATTTTTTATCTGATATTTTTAGGCTTTATACTTTTTAACTGCTCTTAAAATATATTCATCGATCTCATAGTTATTCATTGTATGTAGAATATATGTTTATTTTGAATAAGTAATAAACAGATTCAAATATCATTAAATTCATTTGAAGTGAACAAATAAATAAAATAGATAATATAAACATAATTGTATTTTACATGATTCTCTAATTATTTTAAGAATGAATAGTTATTTTTTTACTTCAACTATTATTAATCATAAATAATTCGAATACTTTTAAAAAGATAATCGCTCTTCAAAAGTAAGATATGTCAAACAGTTATATTTTGTGTTTGACCTGAATTTAATAATTGAAAAATCGAATATTCATCTGATTAAAGTGTATTTTTTAAATTATATTATTATTATTTTCGCTTATATGAATTGCTTTATTTTTTCATCTATTATAATTCTCTATGTACACTAACTCAATGATTAATAATAATTTAACAACTTTATTTAATTTTCCATGTAAGTTAGAATCTATTATAAATTTAATAAATAAAATTATCACACACTTAATATATAAATATCAAATTTTAAGATGGATTTAATGATCTATTTATGAAATTTTAGGGATCCCATTAAAAATAAAAAATTACAATTAAAAAAGTTCCATTCAAATTAAAAATTGTTTTTTGATTTAATCAGTTACATTTATTACCAATATCTAATAATAAGCCTTTGAAATAATTTATTAAATGCTTTCAAAATTAAGTAAATTTTTTTATTATCTGACTATTAAATATTACTATAAATAATAACTTATATTTTCTTTCGTTTAAAATATTAAAATTATTTATTTAATGGGTTTAATCCAATAATAAATAGCAGTGCCAAATCAATTAATATTGACGATTAATGTGCTATAAGCTTCAAATTTAAAAGATCATAGCTAAAAAGATATTATTTAAAAATGAAAAAATCCTAATGATTTTGAATTCACTAATTACCACTTCAATATCAAAAATTAGATCTCTTTTATTTAATTAAGAGGTGGTGGATGCTGCGGAACGAAGAAAGTCTATTCTGAATTTATTTAGAGAGATAAAAATATTGATGAGAATTTTGCATTTAACTTATAAACATTTACATAAATAATTGTTCAAAAATCATTAAATTTTCAAGATAAAATGTATTAAGATGAAGTGCTTTCAGCATTTTAGTGGTTTTAAAATAATAAAGATCAATTTCATAGACTTTGTCATGATGAATCTTTAATCACAAAAAATTATGATCTAATTGAAAAAATGTCAGAATAGTTAATGAAATAATTAACTATTTATATTAAGCTTTCAAGTTTTTTATTTTATTCTTTGCTCTAAATTTGTAATGATCTATTTAGAATAATATTTTCATATCAATTAAAGAATAAAGAAAGATATATGCAAGAAGACATAAAACAAAGATTTTTGGGGTATATTTTAGAAATTGAATCTCAAATTAAAGTAGAAGTTATTAATATTTGGTTTAATGGAGTAGACTTTGAGCTCCAAATGATTAAAACTTGTATTGCTCATTGTAGAACAAACTCTGAAAAAAGTATGGAATTAGCAATATCTATTATGTGTGGATTAATGACTTCATTATCCTAATTAAAACCTAGCGATCAATTAATAAATTCATTAATTGAAGGAGGGAAATATTTACTTTTGAATTTCTATGATAAACAGATTTAAAACCCTCTACAAATATATGAAATATATTATTTTTTTGAAAACCTTAAATGGTCAATATTGAATTAATTAAAATTAGGGTACTCTATTTAGAATATTATTAATTAAATTAAAGATGGATATTTAAAGTACATAAAAGAATCGAAGGATTGGATGATACATCATTGTTGGGTAAACTTGATATCTGATCTAATGTGTTATAGACCTATAATCCATAAAAATTAATTAACAAATTTACTATCATAAGGAACATTAGATTAAGCATTTTGGGAATTACTTATAAATAAAAATTTAATAATTTAATTGCCATATAATAAATTTGCTGGTAAACTAAAAATATTTGAAGAGCAAAATTTAATATTAAAAAAGTTTAGAACATTAAAATTATTTTAAGAGTACTTGATTTAAAATTAAATGGAGATTTAATTAAACTAATTCATCAAACTTAGAATTATTAAAAGCTTTAATAACTTAATTAAAGTCTTTTATAGACAAGATAATAAATGATTTAGAAGCTGTTAAATAACAAGTAATTTTATGTAAATCATTGCTTTAAAATAATAACCAAATAGAAATTAAAATTATTAAGCAAGATATAATATTTTTCATGTGTTAAATAAAACAATATAGCTTCTTATTAAAAGGTTTAATCAATGAGATAAATCTATTAGTAAATAAAGAGCTCTTGGTGAACTCTATTTTCTAAAAAATTCTATAAGGAAATTGCGAAACTTTAAAAGAAAATCAAACAACATTAAAGCAAAATATATTAATATTAATCTAAGAAATTGAAAAAAAATATGAAACAGAATTTCTAAATAATTTAAAAATTGTATCTAGATTTTGGATATAAATTTGTTAATTTACAACTATTTCTCATGAAGAATTAATTCTTCATAATCTTGAATTGTAAGATTCTCTTGAACCTAAAATAAACTAAAATATTATAATCGTCAATAACATAAATAAATATTTGGATACATTTATTGTATAAATATCTACCATAAATAGAAACTTTTTATCAATATTAGAGTTATAATAATTCAAGTGTTTTATAAAAGAACCAATTTCTCAAAGAAGCATAGCATTATAAATTATTAAATAATTTAATCCAAATTTAATATTATATTTAGTTAATGAAATTCATGAACATTTTTAAGAAATGTTATAATAGAAGTTAGATATTGAAAAAGTTTTTGATATTAGACATATTTTGAAAATGGTTTATTCTAATTTAAAAATTTACAAAGGATTAAAAATGATTCTTAAATTGCATCAAAGAAAATTGATATCGATTTAGACATAATTAGAAGGAGTGTTTTAAAATTCAAGTTTAGAAGTTGAAAGGTAATGTTCGAATTAAAATGATATTTACAAATATATTCATTTAAAAATAATGGATAGGAAAAAGTAGTTGTAGATGTTATTTAAAAAACATCAAAATGGCGAATTCACAAAAGATGTATAAATAGATTTCAATAATATAACAAATTAAATTAATAAAGAAAAAAATGAAATAAACAATAATGATTGGTTAGAGCATATCAAATTTGATTATATATTATTATTATCGAATATCCAAATGAAATTAGAAATGATGGATTTGGTTTAGTAAAATAACATTGTTATCTAATAAGAAATTATAACATTATTAGATGGTAAACTTTAGGAAATAAATTAAGTTGATAAAACAAAAGAAATATTATAAAAAGACTAAGATCAAGTATAATTAAACTAAGAAAAATAACTGAAATTGCAAATGAAAGATTTATATGATTGTGAAAGTTCATTTTAAATGATAGAAAACTTAATAAATAATTCTAAAAAGTTAAAACGAATATTTTAGTCACATCTTCTTGATACAACTTCTCAATAATCATAAATAAATTAATAATTATTAAATAATTTAAAGAATACCTTTACAGCAAGTTTAAATCAAACATTTATTGATTTGTTGCAATAAACTTTAAAATGTTGTAAAAAATTAATAAAAATGAATAAATTATTTTGGATTTAGAATTTATAATAAAGCTTCAAAATTAAGCTAATATAGAATATATACCTGCCATTACACAAATATATAACTTTAATACTCTCATTATTGAAGATAAGGTAATATAAAATTCAGAAATCAAGGTTAATAAAATATAAAATATGATTATGTAATTTAAAAATGAAACGAAGACTAATTACAAAGAAGGATTTTTTGATATTTTTTAAAATTCTTCGTATAAAGTTAGGGAATTACTAGTATTCAACTTAATAAAGTTATAATCAAAGGTTTAAGAATAAACAATCTCAGAATTTTGTGAAAATTTATTAAAACAAATTTGGATAATTGAAAAACATCCAAGTGTAAGAAATCTACTTAAAAATGAAGAAATGATAATGATGCAGAAGAAGTTGTTCAAAAGATTTACAAAATTTTTCACTTAGATTAAAAACAGAAATGCAAGCAAAATTAAAATAAATATCACAAATTGAAACCTAACTATTGCTTAATGAAAATTAAGATGAAATGAAACTATTACTCTAACAAGCATATGATAATTTTGAAATATATTTAGATAATATTACTGATATGTCACAAAGATTAGATATTAGTTTGATATTTTTAAGAGAAATTAGTAAAGATTTGAAAAATATTAAGTCTTCTATAGATTAGGTGCTAGTGTAAAAAATGTTTAAGATGATGTAAGAAGATTAAGAGGAAAGAATTTTTAGGAATTATTAAACCTAAGAAAGTAGAAGATTTTAATGTAACAGCACGAGAATTAATTAGATTAAGTTCATATATAGATTACAACTTAGGAATATGATCCTATCTCTGGAAATAAGAAAGCTAATAGCACTGGGTAATTCATCACATTTTTAATAGCAAATTAATATGATAATTTTGATGGAGAAGTAAATGAATTCTTATGGAGTGATTATGAAAAGAATAAGGATATTATGTTAATAAAAGGCAAAGCAGGCTCAGGTAAAAGTAGAGCATCTCGTAATATAGAAGAATTAATATGGAATTGTGATAAATTTTCACCTAATTGGATTCCAATTTATGTATCACTTCCTTCATTAATAGACCCAAATCATAATATAATTGATCAAGCTCTTGAATCTGAAAATTACAATTTTGACAAAATTTAGGTGAGAGAATTCAAAGAGGCTATAATAAATGGAAATCTTAAAATAGTATTAATTTTGGAAAGCTACGATGAGATGAAATTTAATTTTATAGGAACAAACCTTTACTAAACTAATAGACTGGCTTAAGATCTTAATATCAAAGCATCAGGATTAAATGTTAAAATTATTATTACAACAAGAGATGAAATATTAAATTCAATTGGATATTAAACATGGTTTTATGGTTAGAGTATTGATACTCTAAAAGAAGTAGAAATATTACCATTTAGTAGAGAATAAAGTTCATAATATATTAAATTATATGTTTAAATAAGCATTAAGAGAACAATTAAAAAATTTTATGAGTTTCTTAAATAATTAAAAAGCTAGAACTTTTAATTAGATGAATTCAGATTGATATGGACTCAATTAGAAAATATAATTAATTCTATTATTTAATAATAAAAAAATTCTGAAGTGTTATTTTCAAATTAGGATGCAGAATAACTCATATAGAAAATTTAAACAGTGGAATTTTTTAGTTTTATCAATTCAAATTAAATGGTTTTTTTAAAAAAGGAATTGCTTTAATTATGGGGAGAATAAATGTTTGTTAAGGTTATTTAGAATATTAATATATTTCATTTAATGAGTACTCCTTTTATGATGGAAATTATTGTTTACATTTTACCAAAAATGTTATAATTTTATTCATCATCTAATTTAATTCGAGATATTTTATAAAAAAAACTTTATGGTTTTGAAAAGAGAAGCTAAAAAATCAGAAACGAAAATTGAAAAATATTCATCAGCTTAGAATTTTTAAAGATAGAATAAAATTAGGATTGATGAATAAAAATTAGAATTTGAAATATTGGAATAATTTAATTCAATTATAGAAGATTTGGATAATTAAAATTTTTTTGAATCATTTTCTTTAGCAAATTCTATTGAATTTATAAATTACATTAATTTACAGCATTTGATTTTTACTAAATTTTTGTTGATTTCTATCATAATTAACAATTATCAAAATTGAAAGATTTAGGTAAAAGTCTTTAACATGAAAGTTTTTTATTAGACTTATAAGACTTTTCAATTTATTTGGCTATAGATATGTCTTAGAGATAAATTACTTAAGTAAATTATTAATAAAAAGGAAAATTATTTATATAATAAGTTGAGGAAGAGAGAAGAATCGAGGTTTCTTGGGAAGATGCTTATTTTAGCGAAAATTAAGAAAATTTTGAATACAAAGGACTTTTAAGAAAGTGTATGTTGATTAATTAGAAAGGTGGCGTTTATGCATTCAATCACAAATCCATTTAGGAGTATTTCGTGGCTAAATATCTTTTGAATTTATTTCAAAAAATCTTTATTAATGAGAAATAAATAGTTAATGAAACATCATTATATAAAAGCAGTTTTAATAAGGATTTATTTAATTTATCACAAGAAAATTACACAGGAACTTTAGAATTATTAAAACCAAAAATAACAAAGATTCAAAAAATAAATTAGAAACTAATTTAATTAGCATTATTATCAAAAATAGATTCAGATTGTAAATATGTAAGATCTGCTTCAAATTCACTTTTTCTTTTAGGTTATTTAAAAGAACATTTCGAAAATATTGATTTTAGTAAAATGTAGTTAGCAGATACAAAATTGAATGGAATAAGTTTTTATAAGTGTAATTTGAATAACACAAAATTTTAAAATGTTTCAATAGATTCATGTAATTTTAATTGCTCAAAAATAGAAAATGCAAATTGGATAAATATGATTTGTAAAGAAAAACCATCCTTATTTGGTCATAAATCAAAAATAAATTAAATAGCTTTTAGTGAAGAAGGAAATAATTTAATATCAAGTAGTAAAGATGGAGTTATAAATCTATGGTAATTATAAGGAAATGAGGAACCTAAGAGTGTAAGTTTACCAAATAATGAAATATTGTTAAAATTCTCTAAAAGTAATAATTTGCTTGTATGTCTTGCTGAGAATACTATATATTTATTTAATCCAAATGAATTGAGTTAAATTAGATATTAAACAATAACAAATTATGAATACTAAGATCTTTATTTATCTTACGACAGTAAATATTTAGCAGCAGAAACAATTTCAAATCAAATACAATTCTGGCAAATCCAAAATCTACGACAAAAATAATATTCATGCTAATAAAAATATATATCAAAAGGAAAGAATTAAATTCTATTAGGAGTATTGCATTCTCCTAAAATTTTGAACTCTTAGCTACTGGTTGATCTCAAATTAAAATTTGGAATGCTAAAAATATTAAGGATATTTAAGAAATACTAGAATTTCCAAAATAAGATTCACTTATAAATGCAATCACATTTTCAAAAGATTGTAAGATCTTAGTAACTGGAGGGGAAAATAAGAAAATAGAATTCTGGAATATTGAAAACTTAAATCAGGTTTATTTGCTATTTTCATTATGTTAATAAAATCGCGTAGAATAAATATCTTATTCAAATGATGGTAAATATTTTGCTTCAAGGTCTGACTCATCATTGAAGTTATATGAAGAGTAATAGATATTAGATCAATAAGACTTTTTCAGAATATAAATTCCATTTCAAGTTGGTCTAATAGAAATATCGTCAAATACTTAAATTTTAGCTTTTTGCAAGAAAAGTTCCGCTATAATTTAAATATGGGATATCAAAAACCTTCATCAAAATAAGATGCTCTGTACGTTTGAAGAATAAAAAAAAAACATTTCGTGCTTAAAATTTAGAAATGATAGTTTAGTTTTAGGCTCAGCTAGCCAAGATAAAACTATTTGCTTATGGGATTTATAAAAACAAAGATTAATTGTAAAATTAGAGGCTCATACAGACGAAGTATTAGATTTTGGATTCTCAATTGATGGAACAAAAATGGTATCCTGCAGTTATGATAAGACAATTATTTTTTGGAATTTAATTAATTTGGATAAACAATAGGTGTAACTATAAATGTAATTGCCAATTCAAGCAAATAAAGTTATGTTTTGGCCGAATACATAATTTGTTGTATCTTCTATATGTAAATAATCGAAAGAAATCAAGTTATGGGATTCAAATGAATTTAATCTAATTTAAAGTTTGGAAATTGAAGAAATATTTTTGGACATACATTGTAGTATAGATGGTGAATTTATGGCATCATTATGTGAAAACAATATTCTTAGATTATGGAAAATATGTGAATAATCCATTAAAATTGACAAAAAAATTAAATTAAATCAGTGTGATTCTGTTAGTAAAATACATTTATTTAATAATTAAAGTATTATTGTATCTGGTTATCATGGTTATCAATTAAAAATTCAAGAAGAAGGAATCATCAAAATATTACATTGCTTCAATTTTGTGGTACATATTTACTGCATGTCAGTAGCATAAAATTAAAAATTTATTGTAAGGGAAGCTCATCAAGGAGTAGATATTACAATTATTGAAAATTAAATTAGTCGAAATATTTTTAATTTAGCTAATCGTTGCAACGATTTTTAATTTTCTAATGATTCCTCACTTATTGCTGTTGCTACTTCTAGCGGAGCATTTATTAAAAATATAAGAACTAATTAAATAATATTGAATTTAAAATAAGATGAAAGTTGTATATCTGTTTGTTTCATTGGTCAAGATTAATTAGCAATTGGATAACGGAAATGTTAATTTATTTTATATAGTATAAAAGATTCTTAATCTACCTAAAAATTAACTAATATATATTTACCTTGTATTCCTTCAAAATTGTTATTTATAGAACAAAGATAATAAATGTGTATTTATAGCAATAAAAGTTATTTAATATTGTTAAATTTATCAAAATTAAATGAAATTTAACTGGTCTAAGTTGATAAGGGCAATAAATCATTAGATTTTGTCTTAGATTCTAGTTAATTATTTTTAGGCGTAGGTTTTCAAAATGATATTTATTTTTGTTCATTATCAGATACCATTCAAATGGAGAAAGTATTCTAACCATAAGAAAATTTATAACTATCTTTATATAAGAACTTTGCATTAAATGATAGCAATATTTTCACAATTGTTTCAAAAACATCAATATATACTTAATTTGATATTAATTCTAATGTGATTCAAAACTAAGATCTGAAATTCAAGTATTTAACTTTTTTAACATTTAATTATTAATAAACTTAATTTATTACTATTGAAGAATATTATGAAGCTAACAAAAAGAAATAAAAATCATCTCTAATTGATTTCGAAACTAGCAAAACTATTTCATGCTTTGAAGTAATAGATGATATCAAATTTCATTAATCAAAAAAAGTGGTATTTTCTTAAGATGGACTGTATTTTGTTTCTAGTTATTCTGATTTATTAATTAAATTGTGGGATGCTAAAACTTGTAAATTGTTATCTATGTTCAAAAGTAATACACCTTCAATAGAATTGATAAAAATTTCAAAAAGAGGTATAATTGCTTAGACAAGTGAATAAACAATAAAATTATGGAATTTAAAAGCTTTAAAACAATAATAATTTGAAATGGATGGTCATTCTGATTCAGTTAAATCATTATGCATATCATCAGATGGATTCTAATTAGTATCCGGTTCAAATAGTGAAATCATAATTTGGGATTTATTAAAACTTAAGAAAATTGATACTCTATTAAAAGGTGAATAATTACCAACTTCATTTTGCTTTTCACATAACTGTCAATATTTTGCTGCTCTAGACGATTTATAAGGAATCCATATTTGGAAATTAAATACAAAATACATTATGGAACATTTCTATATATTATCATGTATAAATCTAGCGTTTAGTTTTGATTCAACTCAACTTATTTGTCAACAAAGTAATTCTAAAATATTGATTTTAAATATAGAGCAAGTGTGTAAATAGAAAAAAATACAATTTTAATAAAATTAAAACTTTACATCAAGATCAATTATTCTTTCCAAACATTTTCTAATAAAAACAAATCCATTAGAAGTAATTTAAGCAAATAAATCTGAATTGAAGTATGAGGAGATGTAGGGAATATAATTAAATAAAGTAGGAAGAATTGCGTTTTGTATAAATACTATGAGATTAGCAATTGAAGATCAAAATTATTCTATTATCATATGGTCAATAGAAAAACAAAAAAAAGAATCAGTACTTTAAGATCCATCATTAGAAAATATTAAAGTTTAATCTATGTCTTTTAGTGGTAATAGTAAGTTATTATTCTCATTTTATCATGATAAAAAGATAAGAGTATGGGATGTAAGTGAAAAATTTATGGTGATAAAGGTAGAGGATTTTTGGGCTCATAAAGAAGGTCCATATAGCTCAATAAAAGAAGAAAAATATGTATTTATATCTTTGGAAAACAATTTTGTTTGGGATAGTTCAATAACTTAGATTTTTTGTCATTATGGAGAGGCTATAGAATTAGAAAATGGTCAATATCAAACTCAATTAAGCAGATATTAAGTAGGATTTTGTGAAGCAAATAATTTATTAGCAATCTAATTTATCAACACTTTAAATTTATATGATGTATCGTAAAAAAAAAGAGAATTAATTGCAAAATTAGAAGGAAATTTTATTAATAATAGTTTTTCTTCAATTTTAGTATTTTCAGAAGATGGAAACAATCTATTATCTTAAGGAAACAATCAAACAATAACAATGTGGGATATTTTAGATAAAAATTCTATTAAAGTAAAGCTTAATCTCACACAACCAGTTGAAGCTCTAAAATTTTTATTCTTAGATTCACAAACAATTAGGATTTTTAGTAAATCTGGAGAAATAATTGATAAAGCCATTTCTGATTTTACAGAAATAGGTGTTGTTGAAGATTAAAAAAGTAATGATTCTACTAATCATAAATAATTAATTGAGATATCTCGGTATATTGGTAAATTAGAAAATACAAATTTATAGATTTTTGATGCCGAAGAAAAATAATTAAAATACACTTTGAGCGATTTCAGTTCTATCATAACGGATATAAAATTTACACCATCTGGAAAGCAATTCATTCTTGGAATGAAAGATGGTTCAATACTACTATATTCAATTGATAAACAAACATTATAAGACTATGAATTACCAGTATGTTATTACAAATTTGCAAAAAGTTAACTTATCTAAGCGTTTTGCTGTAAAATTAGTTAATCGGAATTTAAAACTTTTGAAAATTTGGAAAAATTATTTTATGAGAAAGGAGCGATCAAATGAAAATATCATAAGCAGAAAATCTGCAAAATAATTTATTAATTTATTATATAAAATTATTAATAATGAAGATTATTATGAACTTTAGTTAATTTTATTTATTTTAAATGATAATCTTTTTTTATTGATATTTTCAATGTTATCAATTAGCCTAAATTTAACCTCCTAAATAACTGTATGGGATATTTTATAGGATAAGTTATGATTTTTTATTAGAATAATTGAGAACTCATTACCTTTTTATTGAAATTAGCACTGGTATAACTATTTTTACGGAATTGTATCTTATTTATTTAGTTAGTTCATAAGTTCAAATATTATGAATTTTAATAAGAGAAGGAAATTGAGATTCAAGTCCTTTAATTACTATTTCTTCCTTTGTATTAATTATAATATTTTGATTTTTGAAATTTTATTTTATCATTGCAATTATTTGATTATTTTGATTCTTCATACTTATTTAATATAACTATTTAATTATCCATTTACCTATATTTTTATATTCATTTTTAATTATTAAAGATAACTAAATAATTATACAATTTAAACAATTTTTTTATAATTATTTAATATAACTACTTAATTATACAATTCAAACAATATTTTTCTATTTTGATTCATAATTATTAAAGAAAACTCAATAAATAACCATTTTAACAATATATTTACGTATATTTTTAAAATTTAAGATAAAAAATAATTTTACAATTTAACAACTAGTTATTATTTCAGTTTTATTAAGTGCATTTTGTTTTCTTAGTGATCTTTTCATATATTAATAGTAAATAAATATATCACTTAGTACCATTATATTGATTTATGTTCCAAATCCTTTCACAAAACCTGCTTATTACTCTTATATTCTATATTGAAGACGAATCATTAATTTATCATCAAATATCAAGGACTTGGAACTACTAATGGTCTAATGTATTCTTCTTTTGGAATCTGACAGTATACAGATGTATTCATTTTGTCAATATTATATTTTTTTTATTTAAAAAGTTTTTTCTTACTTAATGTCTATTAAAATTTATAATATCGCTTTATCTTTGGCAAATTTCTATTATAATTTCTCAATTTCATATTTCAATAATAGAAGTAATGGAGGTATGGCTAAGGGTTTGAATTATGCTATTTTTTATAGTTTTCCTAATTATAGTAGGTAATCAAATTTTATAAACTTAATTACCTTCTATAATTTTATTTTATGATCCAAATAATTATTAAATAAACAATCTTCTCGCTTATTAGTATTCATGATTGTTGTTTTTTTAATTAATTGGAAAAATTTTGTGTTTAATAATTGAAAATGTATATTTCATTATAAGGATAGATTTTCCATAATCTTTCTTTTCTTCAAAATGAGATGATGCTATTTAACTTTTTTTCATAATGTTTATAAAATTAAGAAAAATTGTTGAATTAATCTTATAATTGTAAACAAATTTCCTATTCTTAATTTTTATTTATTTCTAATATTTCTTTTCTTTAATTTTTATTTTTAATAAGAGTAATCTATATATTAATTAAGGAATAAACTGATAAATGATTCCAATAAGTGTAAGTTAGGCATGATTGATTCTTATCATTACCATGTAATCATTTTCAGAATAGCATATTTTATGATAAATTTGGGTCTAAATAAATCATATTCTTATTTGTCAGAATTAAGTAAGGTAGAGGATTACTGTTATAATTAAAATCTCCACATATTATCAGATATTAATTTTCTTTAATTTCATTTAGTAAATTAATAATAATTTTAGAAAAAGAAGCTTTATATTTTTTTAAAGTTTTAGTAAAATATTATTAGATCTTATAATTAAAATATCATAATCTTAATGATCAACATAATAATTAGTAATATTTTTTGAATTGAAATCTTTGGAGAGTTTAGTTTTTTACTAATATTTTTTAATGAAAAGTTAATTTAACCTTTCATCGATAAGTTACATTCATAGATATATTTGATTAGTATCTAATTTAGATAATTTTTGAATTGATTCTTAATGTTAATATTTTATATTGATATTTTATTCCTTTATATCAATAATATCTTTCTTTTATAAATTAAATTTGTAGATCTCAAATTCTTAGTTTTTTGATTTATATTAAAAATTTTTTTATTTCAGATTTTTTAGTGTTTTCTTAGTTAAATTTTATAAACTTTTTAATCTTCTGATAATATAATTTAAGATTATGGATTTAGTTTTAACAGAAAGGGAAAGATTATTTAATACTTATGCTTTCTTATAATCTGAATAATTTAACTTTATATTTTCCTTTAATATATTTTTTTTAATCTTTTAAATAAAAATGATTTTTTAATTTAAATAAGTTATGCTGTCAATTTAACTTACGAATAATTTTATATATATACTACATTAATTTAAAAAGACTCTATAATTTTATAATATCAATGGATTACATTAATTATCAAATTAACTTCTCAATTCTGTAAGCACTGATGAAAAAATAGAGATGTACATTTATAATTACAGATTTGAAGATCTGTTAATAGTTTATCTTGCAACAAAATACATTTACAATAAATTTAAAGGGATCATAAAAAAATATTTTTATTTATAAATCTTCACATATAAATTGATAGAAATAAAATATCTTAGTTACTCATTCCTTTTCCTAAAAGCTATGGAAGAGATATCTTACTATTCTTGTATTTAAAATGATTATCACAATAATAGACGAAGAAGAACCTAGTATTTTTAAAAGTGTTACATTTCTGTCA